TCGACGCACTCGTTCGGTAGGCCCGTAAGCACTAACTGCGTACGTGACGATCTGCCCGATTGCTGCTCCCTGTTACACGAAGCAGTTCTAGGAAAAATCCTAGGCGTGTGAGTGACCCTCAAGTATGTACTTGGGCCTAGTCAACCTCACGTACCAAAACATTGCGCGAGGCTCGCGATGTTTTTTGCTAGTGAAACATAAGAAACTCGAGGAAAACATAAGAAATTCGAGCCGAACATAAGAAATTCCAGCCAGAGTTGTTGTCCGTATTATATCGAACTAAACACGAAGCTACGAGCCATTTTGAAAGTAAAACTATCGCGAGAGAGAACGATTGCTCTCGAGAGTATTTCTCGCGAGTGGACACTGCCCTTGAGCTGAACTGTCCGAGAGCATAGCTCAACTGTCTGAGAGTAAACGTGTCGAGACTTGCTCTGGAATGGATATGTAAGGATACTACTGTCGAACAGTTGCTTTCCAAACACGAAGTAGTTTCGTATTCTTGAGAGAACTCTCGTGCGAGTAAAAGATGTCAGGAAAAGAAATTGATGGAGAAATGAAATTACCGATTTAATCACTCTTCGTTGAAGAAAAATCGGTGTTGTGGAATCCAGAGGACGTAGAATATCGTAACAGAGAGAATTGTGAATATATAATAAATGTGTAAATTGATTCGAAATGAACGTCAAAATTTTTCAAAGAAATATACGCGTATAATCGAAAACGCGTTGTTCGAGCGAGCACTGTATTCCCTGCAAGATTGCAATCGCGCGGTATAAGCGACGTTCGTCGAGGCACTCGTTTTACAGCCTGGTAAACACCGACTGAGGACGAGTCGTCCTGCCCGATTTCTGATCGCTGTACGCTCGCAATTGTTCTGGGAAAAATTCGAGGCCTTAACTTCTTAGAACTCGTGATATTTCTTGCGAGCCAAACATAAGAGACGCGAGCCTCGGTCGCTGTACGTACATCGAGCCAAACATACAGCTAGTTGTCTATTCGCGCACAGAAAAGAGTTAGCGGGAAAAGAATTTTCTGATTTTATATTACTTTTATTGGCAAAACCGAGAACAAACGCGACGCACGTGGTCTTAATACAATACGCCATACTTCTTTTCGCTCAACGCATGCGCGATCGCCGCTCCCAACGCCGCTCGGCGGACGAACGCCGATCACGGTAAAAAGACGCGCCCCTTTTAAATTCAAACCGTTGCACTGTCCTTTTCAGAGTAAAACTATCGCGAGTGGACACTGCTTCTGAGAGCATCGCTCAACTCCCTGAGAATTACGACTCGAATAAACAATTGCTTTGCAAACACCAAGCAGTTTTGTATTCTTGACAGAACTCTCGTGCGAGTAAAAAAATTAGTGGAGAAATGAAATCACCGGATACACTGTTAAGAAATGCAAATTCTGTTAGAGTCTTACTTTCTTATTGTATCCCTGTCATGACGATTATTTTATTATATTTACTATTATAACTTTTATCACTTCGAGAATAAATAATTATTGGTTTCTGATTGCTTAGAATATAAGCATTATGTCATCAAAGAATTCCTTGTTTCGATATTAATCGACATTTGGCCACACTTTCACAATCACGCGGCACAAACAATCACTTCGCTATTTACGAATAATTCGAATAATCACGGCCACCTGATAATACTAAGACATCTACCACAGTGTGTGTCTAACGTTTTAACAATTGTTCAAACGAGCACAACAATTAGTATTCCAAACATTGGCAACAGATATCAGTTGCGTCGCAAATTATACTCTACCCTGCGTTTACATTTAATCGTAATCGTGTCAGTTTCCAATTCATACGTGTGAGAACGTGCAACAAATCGAACGCATCGAAAACACAGAGAGAAACCGATTAATTTCGTAGTATGATCATCCATCACTATTACGTCAATTTCAGATTACCGTGAAGAAGGGAGCCACGTTCCTTCTCTGGTACACAAGATGGTCAAAGATGTGTGTGTGTGCGCGCAAGCCACTCGAAAAAAGTAGTCATTTAGTCGAGCCGAAAAAACTGAGGTCCTGAAAGGGCTCAACTCGAGAAAGGAAAGAAAGAACGAACGGACGGCGGAGTCGGGGCAGCGAAAGATGGATGAAGAAAAAACGGCGTGGAAGGCGAGGACGGTTGGCCATCCGCCTCATCTGCTGTTGAAAAGGTGAGAATCTTGATTTGAGTGAGCGCTTTAGATCGACGCGCCCGGAAAAGTCGTAAAAAAGCTCGAAGAGAACGCCAGGAAATCCTTCGGCAAAGCCATTAACGGCGATTTCTCCTAAGCCATCGAATCCCTCTTCTTCCGTCGGTGTCTTCCAGTGTCAACCCCATTCCAGGTCTCGTCAAAGCGACGCCATCGACGTGCCGTGAAAAAGAAAAGAGGTGTGAGAAAGGGAGAGAGAGTGAGAGAGAGAGAGTGAGTGAGTGAAGTGCGGTGCGAGAGGTGAGCAGAGCGGAAATGGTGGAAGGTACACGTCGGCCAGGCGAAGCAACGAAGGGAAATGGGGAACTGTGAAGAATGCAAATGCTATGATTAAGATGCAGCAAGAGAGATAGTAGCAATTTTGTTGTTGCGTTGACAGCTACAAGATTGCGTGAAAAAAATGTTGAAATTTACTGCAGCAAGGCATTCGGGTAGAGATATGTTTAAGGGGTGTGTTTAGCGTTTTCTTTTTTTCGATTGGAAAAAAGTAGTTGGAGATGTTAATATTGGAAAATATTATTTATTAGAATGATATACTTTGTAATTAAATGAGAATGAAATTAGCGAAGCATCCGTGTTTTAATTTACAACACTTTGTCGTCTTTATGTACTTAGACACAATTCTTTTTACCAAGCATAGGTAAGGTAGAATAGGTAAAGGACAAAAGGTAATGACACCAGGTATAATTGTGAAAATTTTGTTCGAGTATTAAGTATAATAAAATTTAAATAAAGATACCTTTTATACATTTCTGCCTTTAGATGTTACAGTTTTCTTAAATTGGAGGAAATACGTATATCGATTGTTTTCGATCGGTTACACTGCGGCCTCTGTGAACGTACAGTCGAAGTATGGAATTAATATTTCAACATATGGTCAATATTAAAATTGTCACTAAACAATAAAATACACTTCGATTTAAATTGTATCGTTATAAGTTTTATTAGTAGATATAAACACAGACGAGGTACAGAATAGACCAGACCTTGCACCTAATGTATTTTTGTGTCCAACGTTCTGAAATACCGATCGTATAAAAAAATCAGAGCTTTTGTTATGCCCTCTACGATATAAAGCGGTGAGTTTAGGAATTACATACAATCCAACCATCAAGGATAGTAAAATCGGCAGTTGTAAAAAATCCTCTTTTATCAAATTTGCATATAAGATACATATGTACATATATTGGATTGCGTGTGTAGAATTGTTCACGATCTTCTAACAACAGTAGAACACATGCATGTGGTGAATCATCTACTAATAAACAATTACGTTACTTTCTTATTTGTAATTTCATAGTTACGTTTAATTCTAATTCTAACCACTGCTAATATTGTAATCTTAGTCTATGCTAAATCGGTAACGTGCGACATGAAAATGGTAAGGGTCTTCAGGTCCCCAAAGTCCCGAACAAAAAATTCTATAAGATACTAGAGGTCTATCCTGTACCACAGCTTGTACGTCATCTGTAGTGATAGGTCTATTCTGTACCTTGTCTCTGCTGTAGCATTTAGTTCGTATTGATAAATTATTTGATGATTAAAGAGTAATTTTTATCATCGTTAACCCTAAGTTTTCAGGACTCTAAAAGATACTGTGAACAAATACCAACGATCGCAATGATAAGTCGAAATCAAACAATCGATAACTTAGTTGAGAAATTTACATTACAGATATCTAATTGTATAGTGTTTTATTGCTATGGTACACTTAAAATAAATTACATCATAACATCAGCCACAACATATAACATATTATTGTATATTTAATTAGTAATCATTGTTCGACTTGCAAGACGCTTTGTCTCAATCACACTGTCAACAATAACATGCCCAAACGATCGACGATCAGGCTTGACAACACAATTTAAGGGTAACTTTTGCATTTTACTGTGTTCGTCCCGCGTCTACATATTGTCTTGTAAGTTACACAGTAAAATGAATGTTTACGCTGCGCGTTTATAACGTAACACCGGCGATTGAAAACGATCTATATAAGAATATAAAAAAGTAAGGTCAGAAAAACACAACGGATGGTTTTCCTAACTAGTACGCATTCATCACAATCTTTAAACACACCCCCAGATGTTACATATCTCGATCATCATACTTGACTATTATCGTTATAAAATTTCATGTATCATTCCAATGTACGACCAAACAGAAATGCCTCTTTGTTTGCGAACACGTATAATTCCTGAGATATTAAAATATTATTATTGTACTGAAACATGATCTTAATAATACGCACTCTACACGCTGCGATTTGCAGAACATTAATTTCATCTATTAGCAATAAATATTACAGTGGATTTGTATTTATGTTGAAACTACTGTGACAGCAGTTCTGTAAACATTTATTTTCGTATTCGTCTTCCTTGCACGCTACTTAACGCCAAACCGACAAACACATTTCTTTATTTTAAAAAAAAAAAAAAAAAAAAAAAAGAAATCAATAACGAAGAAAAAAAAATCCCTCAACTCTTTCTCTCCGTTATCACCAAGCACCCTTTACTCCTATCTCAACGTGAATTACTTCGTGTATAAGCAGTTTGCTTCATAGTAAAAATTCCTACAAAGTCCATGTCACTTGCATTGTGAGTGCAAATAGCGCCTTGTACGTAAATTCAACGAATCCACGTAAAGGAATGCATGAAGATATTTCGTAATTTTTATCGATCAATCATGAAAATTTGCATTTTTTAATTTGTAACAGAAGATACTTTTGCACGGTATATGCATCTTCCTGATATTACTGTAAGCTGTTAATGATATTTACATCTAAGACCTCATGTACTCGTAATCATGTTCACGCAAAGGAACAAATGTTTCTTTGATTGATTGTGGCGATGCCCAACGAAGAACGTAATGAGGACCGCCAGCTTTATCATTTGTACCAGACATTCGACTGCCACCGAACGGCTGTTGGCCAACAACCGATCCTGTCGATTTGTCGTTAACGTAAAAATTACCAGCTGTATATTTAAATTCCTCGAGAGCCCTCTTCGCCCATTGTCTGAAAGAAAATGGCATACAATGAGAGAAAATATAAATAAATATTTTAAGAGAAATTAAAATGCTTACTCGTCTTGCGAAAATATCGATCCAGTTAAAGCATAAGGAGTCGAAGATTCTACTAATTTCATCGTTTCGTCGAGTTCCGTATCCTTATAAACATATATTGTCAGCACAGGGCCAAATATTTCTTCTGTTATTATCTTATCTTTCGGATTCTTTGATACTACTATTGTTGGATCAATGAAATATCCACGCCTAATGAAAAAAAAAACTGAATTACAAATGATACTAATGACATATGTATTTTACTAATTATACGTAAAATGAAACATACGAATCATCATATTTTCCACCACCAATGATTTCTAAATCCGGCGATTTTTTGGCATGATCAATATAACAGGATATTCTCTTAAATGCGGCTGCGTCTATAACGGCTCCGGTGAACACGGTAAAATCTCTAACGTCACCAATCTTAAGTGTGTCACGAATCGATAAAAGACCCTCCTTGATCTATACATAATAACGGTTAACAATAGCAAGTTTCTCTTAAAAATTGGAGCTAAAAATATATATGTAAAATATACCTTAGGCCATAATGATTCTGGAACATACATTCTACTGCAAGCTGAACACTTTTGGCCATTGAATTCAAACGAACTTTTTATGGTTCCATTTACAACTGATTCCACGTCAGCACTCGGGTGTACGAAGTGATAATTTTTACCACCGCATTCACCTATTAATTTGGGATAATTCTTATATTTGTTCAAATTTTGACCCACTTGCATCCATAAATGATTAAACGTTGGAACTGATCCAGTAAAATTAATTCCAGACAAGTAAGGTGAAGCAGTTATTACGTCGCCAAACACAGGGCCTTTACATGGAATAAAATTCACTACACCTGGTGGTACACCAGCTTCCCTACATATTTTAAAGATCCACCAATTAGAAAGTAAAGCTGTATCAGATGGTTTCCAAAGAACTGCATTGCCCTGAAAAATTTTTATACAAAATCTTTTTATACCCATGCACTGAATTTGAATTTATCTTCAATTCTTCAATATCTTTTTCAATTCATCTATTTGACAACATTCATACAAATGAAATAATAGAAAAAAATGCAAACCATTAGAGCAGGTGTATAGCTAAGATTACCACCAATAGCAGTAAAGTTGAATGGTGATACTGCTGCAACAAAACCATCCATCCCTCTGTATCTCATAGAATTCAATGTTTCTTTACGATTGGGTGAGATTGGTTGATATTTTAAAGCCTCTTTAGCAAAATACCCATGCATTCTAAAGAAATCAATTAATTCTGCTGCACTATCAATTTCTGCTTGAATAACAGTTTTACTCTGTCCAAGCATTGTGGCAGCATTTAATTGTTGTCTATATTTATTTGCCATTAAGTCAGCTGCCCTCAACCAAATGTCTAAACGTTTTTCAATTGGACATTTTTCCCATTCACGTTGAGCCTTTACAGCAACATCTATTGACTTTTTGACTAGATTAGGTGATGCCCAATGATACTTTGCAATCTTTGCTTCATGATTATGTGGCTAAAACAAGAATTATTATCACTAGTATATAGTTTAGTTTTCTTATTTTTATTTAATAAATTATTATTATTGTATTTTATAACTTACCATAACTTGGTATTTACATGAATTAGTTTTAATTTCCTCATTTCCAATAACCAATGGTACTTCTTCACATTCCTTGGACATTTTATCCAAAACCTTTTCCAGTTCGGCCCTTTCAGGGCTGCCCTTTTTATAAGTAAGGATAGGTTCATTTTCTAATGGAAAGTCAACAGGATTGGGTACTGGTACTATTGTTCCTAAGCACCTTGTACTGACTCTGGTCATAAAATATTAAATATATATACTTTTCAGTGATAAAAATCTATAAATCCAGATTATTTCATTTACAACATTTTTGTCAACTATTGTCATATTTCCTGTTTAATTACTTATAAATGTACTTATGTCTATATTTACTAATACACAACATAATGTGGTCAAAGGAAGTACATATTAGCTTTTAAGCTTGTCTTGATATCATCTCTAAATATTTATCTGTGTACTTTGTAATAAGAGCTAAACCTATAATGTTATCTCCAACTTGAGGTTTCCTTAAGAACTATATATATTCACTTTCTATATTATTCTATCAATGAAGTCCATAAACTATGATTTATTATAATCAATAATCACAATAATAATATAAAAATAATAAAAATAAAAAAATTCCAGTAATATGTTACATAAAAGAAAAAAGGGGAGAAATTATTTTGAGGAGAGAAAGACTTTATTTTAAACTTACTTACATGTGTCAAACCGACACCATGATCAGAGTATTATGTAACACAATCTCAGTAACCCATGTTATTACAGTTATCACTTTCAGTACTAATTATGCGAAAAAAGATACGATAACAAAAATTACCCTAATTGATTTAAATCAATGGAAGTGCAGATAAATTAAACGGGTGAAATGAATGAGATGATATAGAGGTACGCTCGTTTTAATTATAGAACACGATTTCAAGGTAAAAATGTACCGTTTTTAATAATACGAACGTTCCTTTCCAACATATCGTAAAATATAATATTTCCGCTCGTTCGTTACAAATTATTTTAACAAATTTCTACGTTTAACATGGTGAAGAGAATTGGTAGTGAACTTAAACAAAAATCACATATCGATCAACGAATATTGAGGCCATCATATAAAATCGCTGTGTAATTTACACATTTACAAGCAAGCGGTAAAATAACGTGCACTATGGCAGATGTTACTGTGTGTTGTAAGCATATGTATTAGTCTGTAAAAATATGTTCCAAGGACGCGCGTACATATGAGAAATAAACTAAATAATAAATAGTATTGATATGTAATATAATTGTTAAAAATATGAATACTTATGAGAAATTTTATAAGAATCATTTGGCAAAACAATTAGAGTTAATGTATGCATATAGCATAAGTGACACGATACGTTGCCGGTAAAATGATTAATGTACAAGTTATAAACTGCATATCGTTGAAATGCATGCTTCCGAATTTGTATACCCCCGTATACTCATTTGCGCATCGCAATGATTAATATTAAGTCGTACGATCGTTAAATTTGGCAAGGCACATATTGTTTCCTTTTTTTCTACAAAGAAAAAAACCTGCAGCAAGAGACACGTTAAATAGATTATTGAAAAAAAGTTTGTGAAGAAAGTTAAATAGACGAAAATACATTGTCGAAAATGTTAATTGATGGACTATCGAAAAACACCTTTCACGTCCGTTTTAGAATGGAAAATTCCTACGGAACCCGTAAAGTAGTCTATCCTTTTCGTAAACGAAGAGGTATCATACGAACAGAGAAGATTAGACGAAGAAAACGAACCGGAGGACCAATAACACACCAATAAGCTGACATCTACATACATGCGCGCCCCTTCATTTATGTGATCGTTTGTTATATGGTGCATATGTCAATTCACGGAAATAATCAATATACCATAACAGGACTTGATGTGCGTGGTGAAACAGTAAAACAAAAATGATCAAATTTTTGTTTCACAAATACATGTATTTCACTGACAATTTCGCATTTGGCTACTCACTTTTGACTGTTAGCTATTAACGCTTGACGGCAAAGACTCAACATTGTTTTTTTATTTTATTTATTTCCTTGGATAATTTTTTATATGAACACCTTCACCTTAGTCGTACGAATTTTGCTGAACTATCAATGAGGCTTACTCACTATAATCACCGTAAAGACCGATCAAGATACTGGACTGTCGAAACTACGAAAGTAGACAGTGGCAACCATCGAGCAAATAGTGAGCCAAACCTCCCTCCATAGGTACCCCACCCTCCGTCAATTCAACTATGAAGCAGGACCGTAATGAGATTCCGAAAAATGGGGCGTCTATTAATTTGTAAGTAAAAATATAGCAAAAGTGGTAATATGCGGTACAAACGCTAAACGTGTATTAGATATTTCATAAAATTCTTTATTTGAAATTATTCCATAATGTTCATGGATAATCATTTAAAATCATAGAACGAAAATTTTAGTATCAAAACATAATAACAGTATGAACTTTTTAACTACTATTAATTGTGAATTACTTACACGTAAATATTACAAAAGGAAGTACAATAATGCATTGAACTATCATTGTTACTTTGATAAGGCGAAAGAATTTTAACAGATTTGTTTCATGAAAAATTAACGAAGCAAAAATCGTTTTATTTTTAAAATCGAAATTTGACAAATTACACAAATACTGAAGTTATTTTTTTCTCTTTATGTAAACAAGGTAAATATAATGCTATAATTCAAGTATGTATAATTCAGTTATTTTCATTTCTTGCAAGTTTTAGAAATAATTTGACAATTTTTCTGTATTCCAAACGTATATATTTCAAAGATCTTAAAATATAATGAAACGTAAAAATTTCTCTTAGAAAAATGTACAATGAAAATGTGTATCACAGAGACATTATATAAGAGAATTTATTTTCGTAGATTTATGATTCATTGCATATTAGAAACTGTTGGCAGCTTTAAACTTTTCCGTTTTTTCTTTCTTTTTTGACTAGCAAAAATTATAAAGGAACTTTACCAATATATTTATCAAATAAAAGAATAATTCAATTTGTACAAATAACATTTAATTTAATATTGTAATTATCTAAAATTACATAAGATATCATCAGCAAATAGACACTTTTCAATTATCTTCTTGCTGCATTTGTAATTCGCGTAATAGTTGCGCTCTTTGTTTTTCTAACTCATCCTCTGAAAGTTCGTGATGTTCAGCATTTTCAGTAACAGATCCTTCACTATGAGCAGAAGCTCTTCTATGCTTTTCTTCTTTACGTTTCCTTTCCGGAGACTCTTCAGAGGATGGAAGTCTTGAATGTGACCGCTATATAAAAGGATTACGTAAAATTGTTTATTTTAAGTAAACTACTCAAGTGACTTAAATTTTACAGAAATTAAAAAATTCTATTAATTATATTATACAATTATTTTCACTTACGGAATGACTGCGACCTCTCTTCTTTTTGCTCTTCTTTCTTTTTGACTTTCTAGTATCAGATTCAGAACTATCTGATTTGCTAGGAACGCTTGGAGAACGTGACTTATGCCTTTTTTTTTTTAAACCTTTGTCACTACTTTCTGATTCCTATCAAACAAACATACAATAATTTGTTATAAATTTTAAAATTCTAGTATTATATTATATACTTACACTGTGTGATCGAGACCGTGATTTTCGTTTCACCTTTTTTGTCTTTTTCTTCTTACTTCTAATATGATGATGACTGCAACTTTCTTCAAGTTCATGTTGATATTCCTTAAAAATTCTAACTCTTTCGCTTTCTAATGTTATTGCTTTGAAGTCTGGTTCTTCTTCAATTTTACTTCTTACGTCTTCCCACGTCATTTGATAATCCACATTAAGGGACTTTAGTAAATTTTTGAAAAAAGTTTCTAATTTTTTAAACTTCCGAGTTTCTTCCTTTACACGTTCTTTTTCTCGTGCTTCAGCTTTTTCAAGTAGTAAATTATATGTTAATTTGACGTTGCCTGCGTCTAATGTTGCAGATTTTCGATCTTCACATACGACGGTAGCAAACTCTTCGAAAGTGGTATTAACTTGCACTTCAAAATTCTTATCTTTCAGGATTTCTCTTATAATTTTCTTTTCGTCGTGAAACCTGGATTTCAAATCCTCAACGTAAAATTTAAAAAGATCTAGAGGAGTTGATCCCGATTGTCCAAGCATAGCTGAAAATCTTAAGTCGGCAGATAACATTGGATACAGTTCTACCCAAAGTGACATTGATGTTAATTTTCCTTGTTCGTGCAATTCGTCCAGTAAGCTCTGAAAAATAAGTTTTTTCAACAAAATAAGTCAGTTATAAATATGATATAAAGTTTAAAAACACCACGAAACTTACTATAAAAGCATCTCTATTTTTTCTTTCTTGTCGTTTCCTACGTTTTTTCTCGTGCTCTTTTTCTTCTTCTTCATCTTTTTCTAGTTGACGTATGTGATTTTCAAAAACCAGTAAAGCATCTTCTTTATCCATTTCTAACAAATCTGCATCTTCTGCAAAAGCTGCATGTTGTAAAAGTAATGCTTGTGCTTCTTGCCAAGTAGTTCTATATGTAACATCAGTCATGGTATCTAAAACTTGTGCTAATCTTTTAGTATTTCTCTTTTTCAGTTGTTTTGCTTCTTCTTTTTCTCGTTTAGCCAAATTGAAAATAACGTCCTCGTAAATATCCCTGCGATCTGAATCACCAACAGCTCTCCATACTTCCAAATTACCAAACATTTCTTCACATTTGTAATATTTTGTTGTACTTGTCATTCTATCATTTTCTAATAAAAATTGCTCCAAATCTTCTTTGGCTTTTTTCAATCTGTTTGACACAATTTGTCACATTTTCTGTTTTGTCTCATATGTTTAAATTTTAGCCTTGCATAATACTATACAATGCTACTTACCTTAATCTTTCTTGTTCACGTTCCTCTTTAAGCTTTTGTGTCTTATATGCATTGAATGCTTGCTTACGTTCATTTAGTTTTTTCATTTGTGGATATCTAGGATCACTTTGAATTAATTTTACTGCCTGTTCCCACGTAGCATTTGATGGTACATCTCTTTCTCTTAATAATTCTTTAAATGCCTCAATTGCTTCCTTTTTATCTTTGAACTGCATTTTTGGTTCAGGAGTACTAGTGCGACTATCATTTGCTGATCCTTTTGCAGAATTACTATCTTCATCTGGCTTTGCAGGTGGAGTAGGAATGTTTATTGCTGCAAGAGTTGCAGCCATTGCTTGTTCAATTGCAGACTTTCCACCTGGTTCTGGTGTACTAGTTTGAGATGTATTTGTAATTGCAACATTTGGAGATAAATGCTGCATAGCTGCAGGAACTATACTGAAAAACCAAAATATTGATTATTATTCACACTTGCTACCTTGTATATATACTTTATTATATTATTGATTACAAAAAATGTAAGTTTTTACTAACGTATTTGTAGCACTTGCAACAACTGCTGCAGCTGCTGCTGCAGCCTCTTCAGCTGCAATTCTTGTTTTCAATTCTTCTAGCTCTGTAGGTATAGTCCACCTAGATTCTTTAGTTGTTACATTATGATAATACACTTTTCCATTCTCTGATTTATATTCTTTCCAAGGACACTGTGATAAAAGTAGTTCACTAGGAGTTTTCAATTCATCTGGTTTTTCCCACAAAGATTGCTTTGTAACACTATTATAATAATATGTCCTTCCATCTGGAGCTTTATGTTCAGTCCAATCAGTCTTCTTTTCTGTTGATGTAATAGGTTGAACACCTGATGCAACTTCACTTGCTATAGGTGCTGGGGGAGGAATACCTGGTGCTGTTATTTGAGGAGGAGCAGCTAAAATACAAATGATATTTTAATAAAACACTACTTCTAAAAATTGTCAAGTATTCTTACGTAAAAGTATTGACCTATAACTCCAGCATCTGGTGGAGGAGCAGCAGTAATTGGAAAACTAAAACCAGGAGGAGGTATAGAAAACTGTGGTGGCATTATGCCCGGTGGACCAGGTGGAAGGCTAGGAGGAGGTATGAAAGGTGCAGTAGGCATTATAGGTGGTACAAAACTGGAAGCAATGTTTGGAGTAGCTGGTGGAAACCCAGGTACTGCAGCAGGTGGAGGTATACCATCATTTGAAGCCTATAACATATTGCAATATGAAATAGGTTAAATGTAAAAATAAAATTAAAAATATCTGTAATTATATTTTA